ACAAAGATGTAGAAGGTCCTCATTGTTGCAACGTATGCGTTCATGAATGCGCTGAAAAATAGCTTGTAAAACACGTCGGTGATCTAAAGACACAATTTGGCGCAAGAAGTCAACTACGACACAGAAGACCAGGACACGCCCTATGTGCTTCTTGGTGAAAAACCATTTTCTTTCTTTCTTTTTTTATGGTACTAAATGAGCATGTTTCACGAAAGCACTAACTCGCCCAACAAGAAATGTCTTCTGCAACATGTCGATGGAGCCTTGAGACAAATATTGCACGCAGCCTGTAGACATCCGAAGAAAAAAAAAACACCTTTGCGTATGAATCAAGGCAAGAATACATAGTACGGAGGACAAATGAAGCGAGAGATCTTAATATGGCAGTTCGCGTTCCTCCGGTGGTTCACTTTAGTAGTTCTCATCCCTGGGAGTGAGAAAACATCACATACGGTGAACAGTTTGACTCAAGAGTTCGCGGAGCTCTGGCCATATCTGAACAACCACAATAAGGCCCGGACAATGGCCAATCTAAGTTTCAAGTGTGCTGCCTCTACTGTGTACATAGAAACAACATGACATTGCGTTTTTTATCTCCCTACAACCTAGAACTGGATTGTCGTTCCGTTCTTTTTTCTAATGATAATTTTTATTTCTTTGCGCACTTCGGATACACCCGTACTTGCGTTTTGACGGTACGTAATATGTGCTCTCACAACACACGCTGATTCGGCCTGACAAGTGGTGACGGGTGTCGAGCTCCAACGTATAACGAACGTTGGGGGCACGGTGTCTGGGTATTTGCGCTAGGAACCTTTGGTACAACAATAGAACTCGGCCCGAGTAGCGAACGAGCTGACGATACACTCAAATAGCTTACGTGAGCGAAGTAACAGCCTGGGTTTTCCTCCCACCGACGCTCGCAGACGTATCCGCCCTTTCCAGCTCCTTTTGCTCTATGTTACAGAGAGCTTCGAAAACCATCTGGCTGCCAAGGAAAACTAGACTTGCGGCCGAGAGTGTCTGACGGAGAAAGACGACCTTCAGTGGTCATCTATGTTGATGCCAACATGATTTCGAAGCAAGTGAAAACAACTTGAGCCCAAAGCAAAAGAGAGTATTATCCTTCAGGGGAAAGTTTCCAGATAAAGACATTAGGTGGACATTCCTTTAGAGTCTTTAGGCCGAACGAAACATTGTTCTTCCACGATGCTCTCCGGGACTCGCAGGTAGCTATAGGGTGGGGCCACGCCTTGTTTAAAGCCACTGATCAATAGCTAAAAAAATAAAAAAGGGAAAGAGGCTGCAGTCGTGACTCTCAAGCGGATTTCGCAGCTCTCCAAGGACGCTCTTCTCTCACACGTCACAAGCTATTCCGTTCGTTTGGTGATGACTTCTGAAGATTTTTTTTTAAAGAACGCAATTCAAGTTCTACGAACTAAAGCTGATAATTACGTCAGCCTTTGCGTTCGGATCACTCGTTACGGTTCATTCCGCAAAAGTAGCTTTTTGAGCCCGCCGCGTAACGTGGGACGGGCTACCGAGAGAGAAATACAATGTGTCCTGCTTGCGAAGACAACGCCCGTATAGCGAAGTTACCGTATGCGTGCTCACTCCTGGGCCTATTTGCGAAACAAGCGCGAGTGTGCAGGCGCATTTCCGACGCACTCTTCCGTTACCTCGGGTTGGGTGCGGGTAATAAGGGGAGGAAGTACTGCAGCTTGAACTACAGCTGGATTCCGCCTCGGATTTATGCAAAGTGTAAAGCGAGACGATTAAGAAAAATTGCCACTCAGGCTGGGTGCTTGCTATCTATCCTTAAAAAACACGCACACAAAAAAACACACACCGTTCACGTTGGCCTACCCGAAGAGCTAAGAGCTTAAGTTATTGAATATTGGTTCAAACAGGGAAGAAAACGTGATTAGCAGGAACTTAGACGTCATACACTATCTATCTATCTATCTATCTATCTATCTATCTATCTATCTATCTATCTATCTATCTATCTATCTATCTATCTATCTATCTATCTATCTATCTATCTATCTATCTATCTATCTATCTATCTATCTATCTATCTATCTATCTATCTATCTATCTATCTATCTATCTATCTATCTATCTATCTATCTATCTATCTATCTATCTATCTATCTATCTATCTATCTATCTATCTATCTATCTATCTATCTATCTATCTATCTATCTATCTATCTATCTATCTATCTATCTATCTATCTGTGTGAAGGAAAGAAGTGTCAAGTTAAGGGCTCGTATGCTTTGTTAAACTTAATATAATGGGAACTTACAGACAATGATGCCATAGAAAGTTTAAGGCATGCTATTAGAAGTAATTTTAACGTCACCGTAAAGAAAGAAGCGTGGACGTAACGATACTTTGTCACCGGCAGGGATCGAACCTTCGCTTTCGAATAACACTTCCGTTGTCCTCCCCCTACTGAGCTACGGGAGAAATAGTTCCCCCTCTACTTTATAGAGTATATATGCATTTAAACGTGGGAGCGTCAGTCAGTGGCACCAGTAGATATGACAGTGAGTGTGTAACACTCTTTCCTTGCCTGTGGGCGTATAGCACGTGATTCTATAACGAGCTGGCAGCTGACTCTCCGTTTGTTTGTTAAATATAATACTAATAAATATATAATACTATATTATAGAATATATCATAAACATATATTACTATATTATAAAATATATTATATAATTTATAATACTATAATACTATAGTAGACACATTTTACAGTAGTATTCTGTTCGAGGCACTACTACCACTGTATGTGAACTGGACTACTTAAACACACACACACACACACACACACACACACACACACACACACACACACACACACACACACACACACACACACACACACACACACACAACACACACACGCACACGCACATGGCACACACACACACACACGCACACGCACACGCACGCACACGCACGCACACACGCACACGCACGCACACACGCACACACGCACACTCAGAGGTATTGCGCAAACCATCTTAGAAAGACGTATTAAGGCGATCACATCGCATGACAGAGAAAAAGTTTATTTTGCGTTGCTTGCACTGCGGGCACAATGCCAAAGACACAGCGGAACTGGTGAGCACTCAGGCAGACCTGGTTGTTGTTGTTTGGGCACATTTGTGAAATAATTTTTTTTCTGACGTCATTTCTTTTTTCGTTACTTTATGAGTATGTCTCTTTATTTCGCCCTTTTTTCTTTCTTTGTCTTTTGCAGTATTTTTATCTTTCTCTCTGCATTTTCTGTTTTTTCTTTCTATTTCTTTTTCTTTTTTTCATCTGGTTCTCCTCCTCCTCACTCTCACATCAGTCCTCCCCAACCGCTTCCCTTTCCCAACCACTGGTTACACTTCACTATTCCAGACTATGCTAGCCGCTAGTGTGTCTGGATAACCTGGTGGTTACTAACGTAGGTCAGCGCGTAGAGCTCACGCAGACTGAGACTCGCCAAATGTTTCCTCGAACGGACTCCCTCAGGCTGAAACTCACCGTAATTTTACTCCCTCGGACTCACTCAGACTAAGACTCTCACTTCGATCTGAGCCTGAGTGAGAGGACTCATGGGTGAGTTTGCCAACCTATGGTTACGACACTTGCCTCCGGATTGTGGTACGCGGATCCGAATCCCGCCTGGCCTTTCTTTCTTTCTTTCTTTCTTTCTTTCTTTCTTTCTTTCTTTCTTTCTTTCTTTCTTTCTTTCTTTCTTTCTTTCTTTCTTTCTTTCTTTCTTTCTTTCTTTCTTTCTTTCTTTCTTTCTTTCTTTTTCCTATTTCTTTCTTTTTCTCTTTCTTTCCTTTCTTTCGTTCTTCCTTTCTTTTTTCTATTTCTCAATCATTCTCTGTGCTCGTTCCCTTACCCATCAGTTATTGCATCCCACGCCGGAGAAGTCGGTGCACGTGTACTGCGAGCTAAGCAGAAGATGAAGAAGAGAACGAGAGAGCGCACATCGGTTGATTAGGATGATAATTTTTGTTCGCACTATCCGCAGCAACCACTCCGCTGTTTAAAAAAAGGGAATAAGAAAACAGAAGCAGCTGTCAGCTTCAATTACTATAGCCCGCAGATATTTGCTATGACCGCCGGTTGTTTGCGCGCTACTTTCGGCGAGCTCGACAGCTTCTGAGAAACTCACCGAGTTAAACGTAATGAGGTTCTCCCCTCTCAAACAGTAGGAACAACCTAAATTTGTCACAAAGATTTTGTCACTAATTTGTGACAAATTCGCACCTTACCGCGAGCTGTCACGCTTTATAATCTCGCGTTAATGACGTCAAGTCTTTGTATTATTACGCTCAGACATTTTATCCACTGATATGGACCGTCGCCCCACGAGATAAATATGTTTAACTTCAGCCGATTCTAAGGTGGGCTGGTGCATCGCATTTTGCATATTTGTTCCGATAATTTTCGAATGCGGAAATAACTTTCCTCGAAGAAGGCTATACGACGCGGAGTGCACAGCTACCGCAAACTTTACGTAAGTGCAACCAACGCTGCAATCACCGCTACGGCAGGCCTTGGCCTTCGACCGGTCTTCAAAAGAACACCTGGACGCTTTCGTTCGGACAACTAAGCGTTTTATCTGCCACGACCACGAGCAATGAGGCCCTTGACAAGAAGAAAAAACACTCGAGCGCATCACGCAAGAAAGGATTTGCCGCCGCGTGAAAAGAAATGTGCGTACAGCTGATCGAACTCCCTCGCCCCGCGTCCACTGGACTTTTCCGAAAGCGCAGCTTCAAAGCGAGGTCGCCGGCTGTGACGCTTGCCGGCGGCGCGTCAGCGGCGTGTGTGCGAGCGTGGCGAACCAGGAGGAGGACGCGCAAAGGGTGTGGAGCCAGGGCAGCGTGACGCGAGGGGCGCGTCACGTGGCCCGGTTCCCCTTTCACCTTCCGCGGTGTATTCCCGGCTTCCCATCCGGCCCCATAACCAGAGAGCGAACAACAGTGGCCCCAAACGCGGCATCCCTGAGCGGACGCGCTTGCATGGACCGAACGACAGGCCACCGTTGCCGGGCCAGCCGCCAATCGACGACCGCATGATGTTCGCGCCGGCTTTGCTGGCGCCGCTGCTGCTGCTGGCGCTGGCCGGCCGCGCGCAACAGCAGCAGCAGCACTTCCACAGGACGCGGTTCCAGCCGGTGCACCGGTACCCGCCGCTGCCAAACGGCATCAAGCTCAGCCCCGAGCTCATAAACCAGGCGCTCCAGCTGCCGCCCAATGGCCAACCCCAGGGGCCCGCTCAGCAGCAGCAGCAGAGCTTCAGGCCACAACGCATGGTGCAGCTGACCATACCGCAGGGCGTTCTAAGGGGCCGCGTACTACGCACACCCTCGGGCCGAGGCCTGGTCGCCTTCCTTGGCGTGCCGTACGCTGCCGCGCCCCTCGGTCCACTGCGATTTAAGGTGAGCACCTGCACCACTGCACCAAGCCAATGCCCGTAGTACATGTTAGCCGTAGAGGAGCGCGATGCACGCGCTATACGGGAAGCATGTACGGGGACGTTGCACTGCACCAATGACCGGTGCGAACTCCACGATCCATTGAGCTTTCTTTTCTGCATAATGCTGCGGCAGCATCGGGAAAGCAAGCGATTTAGCTCAGGAGGCGGCGAAATGGTATGTCCTTATGCGTGTCACGACGTCCAGATGACGGCAATCTAAATCGCTCTTCGCCTTGCTAATGTGGTAGCGTGTCCCTCGTGTCACGAGAAAATGTGACTCTAGAAGGCTTGCGCTAGGCATGCTGAAACATCAGAACTGAACTAAATACTCATATTTAGCAAAGGCGGAGAACAATGGCGGGGAACATCAAATACTAAACCTACAAAGAAATGGTAAATTGTGGGATTGCATCTTACGTACTGAAATATATACATACTTAACAAAAGAGTGCGCGCGCCTGCCTGGAACGTTTCTTTGTCGATAGGTTGATACATCAGTCGAATTAATTTCAAGAAGACCAATGCAAATCATTGTCGATCTGGGTAGCATCCATGTATAACTAAAGTAAATTTAGTTTTCCATACGGCAGCGCAGTGTGCCGCTGAAATCACGGGAAAGTATCCATCTTATGCACGGCATGAAAGTCTCTTGACATGTAAAGCGACCGCTGCAGTCTGTGAGAAAACGTGCGGTAGTTTCAGTTTCGCTCATGTTTTCTTCCCTTATGATGTCACATGCGAGGTCACGTGGTGAGCCAAAATTAAATCAATGGTGAAATTGTCCCAAAACAATTCAATATCAGGTAGTATCAACTCATAAATGAGCTGGCCACAAGACTAGAAGTTCACTGAAAATAGAATGCATGAACTTGCACAGGTATGTACTAAAGACGGACAGTTCCTTTAACGAATGAAGACATTTACACCTGCTTGAGAATACAGGCCTAGAAGGTTTCGCAGACGACTTGAAAAAGGCACAATAGTTACGTAGCGAAAAATTGAAATGAGAGAGGGAAAGGGAACGAATTTATAGTATCATGACACATTTGTCATATGTAGCATTCATACGTTTGTAGTAAAAGACTACACAATTTTAAATAAGGCTAAAATGCTGACTGTTCTTAAAGTCTAATCAAATATGATGCATAATTGTGTTATTATCTTGACAGAACTTGATGACGCGCAGCTATTCTGCAATATAGAAATTATCTTGGGTTTACACTGCAAGACGTTAGTCAAATAAATAAGATTCGCCAAAAAGAAATCCGGCGAGCGATTTTGTTTTTTTACCCTTTAAATAAGAAAAATTATAGAAGATGTTAGAGGTTCTAATTTGGTAGTTATGGCTTCCCACGTATAGTGGTTCAATTAATTTCAACGATATGCTGCGTATGGTATGGGTATTGATCGACAAGAATACTGTACCCTAGTCAGATAAAATGAATGCATATGCCAAAGAAAAGTACATTAATAAATTCTTATAGAGAAAAAGAGGTCACGCAAAGAAGGGTGAAAGCAGAAAGACGCAAGGTTAACTTAACTTGCACTTTTAAAGACAAGGAGGGTTTAGGCTGCACAAAAATGGCCTCACTATCACACGGATCGTAGTATATACGGGCAGCATTTTTATAGTAAATTATCGGCAAGAACGCGTAGAGGAGTATTATGGGGAGAAGAAAAAAAAACACGGTAAAATATGCGGTGCTATTCGAATCAATTTGTAAATTCGCGCTAATACTGGGTTTTGGAATGTGGAAGAGGAAAGTGCAGATACTGACATAACACGTTACTGGCTTGAATAAATCTTTGAAAGGCCGATAGCGCTATACCTTTCGTAATGAATGCAGCTAAAAGCGAGAACATTACGGGCATAGGAAGGTCCCTTCGTCTAAATTGAAACAGAGTCTCTTAAATTTTGCGAAAGATTTTGCAGAACATGAATGGTTAACGACCTCATACGTTTGGGGCACCAATGACTTGGTGTCCTATCGGCACGGCTGGTTTGGTAAAGCGTATGCTGTTAGGAATTGTGACTACCTTTCAAAACAAGTGTGCGAAAAGAAATGCTAGTAACCATTCTCAGTTCAATGTGATATTGAAGGCGAGAAACGGTATTCCAAGAAGCAAACAAGATTGTGGTTGGATTTTACACGCCTAAACTATACCTAGGCCACTTCCTCGATTTCTATTAAGTATAGTAGGGAAATACAATTAGCAAAAAGGAAACCGGGCGTGGCAATTGCCAGCAAATTTTGCAAGGCTTGATCCGCCGGCTATACAACATCCTGAATCCTAAAAGCGTGGAATGGTGCGCACCAAGAAATATGAATACACAACGCATACGGTATCTCAGCAAGCATCGTCTAAACTTTAAAAATGAACAAAACAAATACAAACTATGTATATGATTATGAAACAGTACATACTGTTCTTGGCCGTGTGTTATCTTCCGCCTACAAACTGAATATTTGAGTACCAATTACTTGGCTAAGTAAAAAAAATAATTCAATACAAACCTTAGCTAAGACATTACACATAATACGAGCTGTTTAACTTAGATATGGTCAGTCAGCTATTTTTGTGAAATCATATTTTTGCGAAATAGGGATACCAAGGGCGAAACAAAATAAATGGTTACTTTCGAGTTGGAATATACAGCGCTGCATATACGACCCATAGCTTCTCTGCGTCTATTGTGCAATTATATTTGTTGGTGCAGCATTCAAATGTTCTTTGCTGCACAAGATTGTGCTCTCGGTTGGATCGTTGTTATTGCGTCTCCATTTTCAGCTTGTCTCCTCCCCTTGCCCTTTAGCAATGAAGAAAAAGAAAGATAGAGAGAGAGAGAGGGGGGGGGGAAAGAAGCTTCAAAGACATCGTGTGTGGTTCTGTGCACCAAACACTGAACCGTGGTTCAACACGCTTAAGTAACGCTTTCACCATGGTTCAGTGTTTGGTGTACGCAGCCGCGTACACCAGACACTGAACCATGGCGAAAGCGTTAATTAATCGGAAATTTTTAGTACGGAATGAATTCACTATTTCAGAGCCGAAATCGAGGAAATCGAGCATGGCGTGAATTGAGTTTAGCTATAATGGCTCTCGCGAATCTTGCTGAGAAATGAAGACCATACTCGCAGCACGCATACAAACTGCCGGTGGTGTGTGAAGTTAGAATGACAGACCGGTTGTTCTAAGATCAATTCCTTTAATATATGGAGACGCAACAGTGCCCCATTGGGGCAGCGTGGCACTCACATAGGGCGACTTGTTATGTCCCATTAGAGCGGCGTGGGCCTAAAATACTCCGGGAAGCGCGGGCCGGAGTAAGCGCGCTCTTATGTGTAAGGAAACTGAGCGGAAACATAGACAAAGCAGCTATGCCATAGTCAACATTTTGGATTCACCCATATAACCAGTCGAGAAAGGGGACCAGCACCACCCGAACTTCTTCGGAGGCTGTTGCGCGGGCTTTGGTAGACGCGAATAGAAAATGAACCGAAACAACAAAAGCCTGGTCAAGCTAGTGACATTCAACCTGAAGAGGCTAAACAATTCGGTGCGTGACGCGTTGCAACGCGCATGACTGCGCCGCTCGGCACTTGTGGCTGTGAATCAGGCTTACAGCGTTGCGCAAGTGCAGCCAACGAAGAAGGTTGCTTTGCGGCGGCGACCACCAATCACCTTGGCCGTCTTCGCCGCCGCTGCTGGTAAAGGAAGGCGCAACCTAGACCTTCGCATACGATAGGCCGGACACACCCCCGCACTTATGAATAAGCGCTGACGCTTACAGAACTCACCGCCTTCTTACTCATGCATGCTCAGGCTACATTACACGTGTGGACACAACATGAGGTTTTCGCATGTCCGCCGGGGTCTCGATGACCTCGTCGCCGCTCCTTTGCATATTTAACTCTCTCCCTCCTTTTGCGCATTGAACGAAGTACACGCACCTGGTATGGTTACGATTCACTTAACGTAAATAGAGTCGGATTCCCCGAGTTTTGATTAGGATGCACCCAACGATACTCGATTACTAACCTTGTCTAGTAACGATGGGATGCGCCATTATTTATTCTAAAGTCAACAACAAGGTCTCGGAGAGTATCCGTGAGAGGGTGACAATGGACATGCGTGCTAGAGAGGGGGGTCTGGTGATGACGATGACACGATAACATTTACGTGGTCGTCGCGGTCGGCGTATCGAGAAAGATGTTTAGACAGACACGGCACGCCTGTTTAGGAGCTGCCGGTCGCAGTTATGTACTCTGCCGAGCTTTTGGTGTGCGCCAAAGAATGCCATGCGTTCGAAAAAAAAAAAAAAAACGTCATTCCTAACCATAGAGCATGGCCACTGGCGCGGTGAAAAAGGGGAGGGTTTCGAACTTTCTGAAAATTTTCAGTTTTCGCATTTGTAATACACGTTCACACGTACAGACACACGCACAAACGTACAATATATATATCTGAACATCCACCCCCCCCCCGTCAAAAAAAGAAAGAAAAGAAAACAAACTCGGCAGATCCCACGGACCTGAGAATTGACGTTGTGCACGAAGCTTGCGGAGGGAAGGTGACCGTCTTGATTTTTTTAATAAGCGACACGTCATCAAATGAGGCCAAATATATGTACAAATGTTGCACGCACAGACATATGCTGAAGAGTTGCAGATGTACATATAGCCAGTTCTTTGCACTTGCGCAATGATGCCACTAGAACATGCGTATTAGCAACACCAGAAACTGTTATGAAGCGCTGATGCTCGCGAGAATGCTGGTCATGGACACGGCTACATAAATCAACTTTAGCGCATGGCACCTAACCAAGATTGACGTCAACCCGACGTAACGGCTGTATCAAAGGTGTACATATGTATATTTATAAAATTGGATAGGCTGCACTGCAGTCACTATTGATGTTTCACGAAGATTAGCGTCTATTTGAAAAGTAGTTCCAAGAAC